GGAAGCCCAGATGGGACACAGGAAATCGCTGAGCAATTGGAAAAAATATACGGATCAGATAAAATTGTGAGTTGCGTGTTCTGTAATTTTTTTTCCCTAAAAATGAAAAGTAAACTTTAAAATATTTTTATACCTTGAAAACAGCAACTTTTAAGGTGTCACTAAAACGAATTAAAAACTGTGCTTCAAGTAATATATGTGTCTTTTATATTTTCTGCAGCTTCTGAGACCCAGACCAAGAAAGCTGGGCCTGGGTAAGTCCTTATTAACTCTAATTTAGTAATATAAAAAAATTTGCTGTGTACTTTGATTGATCTAGTGCATAAAGGCCCAGAAAAAAATCACAGTAAAGCCCAAAAGCAGAAATGTATGTTTTCATCAAGTTGTTTGCAAGCAAACAAGGTTAAAAATGTACACATAAAAATCCCATTGTGTTTATAAAATGTTTCCCACAACTTCATACCTGCTCCTTTCCCTCCCACCCTCCTTCCCTGAGTGCAGAATGAGGGTTTGAACTGTCAGTGACATTTGGAGCCCAAGTCCTATTCTAGTTTTAGTGCCTGTAGTGCTTTTGTAAATGAGATTGCAGATAGTGACCCACTTCTGCAGTCAAGTTTCTTTGTGCATTTCTGGTGTAGTGGGACTTGCCAGTGTTTATGTTTATAAAATCCAGGGCTGAAATCATCGGGAAAAGGAATAAGAATTTTAATGTTTGTCCTCTAACATGTTATTTAAAATAATTTAGGGATTTTTACTTGATTGTTTTCTAGCGGAGATTTTAGAAAATGAAGGGAAGACTGCACATGGCTGGAAGATTGCACATGTTAAAGTAGTGAGGGAAATATTTCTGTGCTGTTTTCACCAGGCACTGCTTACATTCATGGAATGAAGCATGCCACTGGGAATTTCATTGTCATTATGGATGCTGACCTCTCTCACCATGTAAGTCTGTATTTCATGTACCGTGGACTTAGTCTGTTAGAATTAAACTTTCATTGGTTGGTTTTATTTTACTCCCACCCTTTTGTCTTTTCTGATCTGTTTTCCTTCTATTTCAGCCAAAATTTATTCCAGAGTTTCTCAGGTAGGTGCCAATTGTAATATGAAAATGCAAGTTGATCTTTATAAATTATTTATGAACTCCTGTGTGAAATTCTGTGCCATAGTGGGTAAAAGGTAATTATAAGATTCCCTGAAGTAGCTCTTTTTAAGAAAACAATTAACAAGTGTCTAAATAATGCTTATAACCACCCTAATTACTGCTTTCCTCTCTTCTCTACTTACTTATTTTAAAGTTTGTGAACTTCACATTTTGTACTAAAAGAGTGATTGTTCTTACTTTGAAATTTGTACTTTGAAATATTCCTCCTGTTTTCCTGATAAAACTAATTGTTTATAGAAAGCAGAAAGAAGGCAATTTTGATATCGTATCTGGAACAAGATATAAAGGAAATGGAGGGGTGTATGGCTGGGATTTGAGAAGAAAATTAATCAGGTTGGTATTTTTCAGATATTTACAGTTAAAATTGTTATTTATAAACAATAATTACAAACACTCCATCCCTGTGAGCTGAACTGAGTCTTTAGTCAGCAGAACTGCTGTACCTGCTGGGAACTGCAAAATCACATTAAATACTACAAGTGTGCACCACTGGCAAATTGTGTGGTTCTATTTTTTAGAAATTCTACTTGGTCTTTGGGAATTGTGTGCTGGGCAACTCTGACATTCACATTTTCTTTCCCAGCCGTGGTGCCAATTTTCTGACTCAGGTTTTGCTGAGACCAGGAGCATCAGACCTCACAGGGAGTTTCAGGTATGGCTCTGGTTTGCAATTAATAAAGTTCATTGGAAATTAAGAAATTGCTGAACAAGGAACTGGAATAAGAACAGCCCTTCTTTACTGAGGGCTGTGAAATCTGTTTGGGAAGGGTGGAAGAAATAGTGGACTAGATTGCAAGAACTGCTGCTCCTATGGCTTTGTTAAAGATTTTATAAATAGTAATGAGATGAGTGAGGGATTGCAGTTGAGATTCCCACACACTGCCTTGATTTCCAAACTTCAGAAAATTGTGCTTCAGGTCTCATTTTCTTTGTAACTGTTTACAGGTTGTACAGAAAAGAAGTCTTACAGAAACTCATGGAGAAATGTGTTTCTAAAGGCTACGTCTTCCAGATGGAGATGATCGTTCGGGCCAGGCAGTTGGGATACACCATTGGAGAGGTACAGGACAAGTCTGATAGGGATCTTGTGCTTTTGTGTAAAGGGACACACAGATTACTGAATTTCGTGTGCTCCCAAGAAGCAGCCAAGATTTTCAAACTAATATAAAGAAATTACATGTGTAGAACTCTACTTTTCCAACTTTGCCAGGTGAATACCGGATCTGAATTTCCAGTTCCTTATTCCCCTGGCTGATAAGATTCTGAGATCCCTCCCTCTTCCTGTTGCCACTCCTTTAGCTGTATACAATTTTACAAAGTTCTTCATATTCAGAAGTCATCTCCCAGCCAGGGGTGAGGCTGAGCTGTTCCATGGTGGTGGGAGATTTGTGCTTCCTGGGGCACTGACTCAAAGGTACTGAATTAACAAGGAAAGTGCTGGAGGTTGATTTTAAGCCCTCAGGCTTAAAACACTGAGGCTGTTCTGACTACCTACCACCCAGCCACCAAGTAATGTCTTGGGATCATCTTTAAAGGTGATAAACCAAATAATTTCATGCTCCTCAGCCACTGGGAAGAACAGACACAAAGGAAGCCAGTCTGGTGCTTGCCTTGTTCCCATGTCTGAAAATGCTGTAGTTCAAAGGCCATTCTTTTGTGTAGAGAATCTCTGATTATTTAGGTTTTGAACCTTAAAAATAGTTCTTTTTGTTTCAACAGGTTCCTATTTCATTTGTGGACCGTGTCTATGGAGAATCCAAACTGGGAGGCAATGAAATAGTCTCCTTCCTAAAAGGGCTCTTGACCTTGTTTGCCACAACGTGATGGTTTGTCCTAAATTGACTTTTTTAGTCAAACATTTTCTGACATCTGTGTAGTTTTTATTATATAGCAGCAGAAGCTTGATAATCTGTGTGGTGACCAGAAGACCTGCTATAAGCTACCAATTAAACAAACCACCAACAGTAAACTAAATCCACTGTCTCCCAGAATGCTCCTTCCAAAAGAAATTAACTGTGCATTAAACTAAAAACTAATAAAGGCTAATGATTTTCTATTTTTGTAAAAACAACCAAGTCTTAATAAAGAACACAAAGCTCAATGATCCTTTGCATTTGGAAATGAATCATTATTCAGCAGAAGCTAATGAGGATTTTGAAATAAAGACAAGCAAGGACAGAAAAAAAAAAACAACCCAATGGAATTTCTTATCTTTGTTCTGTGGTTT